AGAAATGATGTGCAGAAAAATCCTTAATCTTAAGCATTTATATAAGGACGTGAGGGTGGAGGAGGGGGTGAGAAATGGCGTGTAAAAAATCATAGTTTCTTTCTGAACCACGGTTTTTTTTTTTAAAGTTGTTCAGTATTTTCTAAACCGGGTCATTTTTTGAAAAACTGTTTGTTAACTGGCACTGTTCACTTTTGTTGTTTACTGTTGCCACATGAAATGAACAGTAAAAGTTAAAAAAAAAGAGAAAAACCTAATGCTTCCCGGTTAGAAGTTCTGGCTTTATTCGGATACTTTTTCGTTTTTGTTTTGGTAATTGTTGGTGTACGGTTTGCTGATGTTGTGATGTAAAATGGACAGTAATCGACAGAGAATTTATTTTTCCCATGGATTATTGTTCATGCAAATATACTGTTCCGGTGTACTGTTTTGTGCCTCGGCAGCACCATCATTGAAAAGGAGCGGGAGACGATCGAGGCAGCTCTGCACCGGTATGCCGGTGGAGAGAAATGATGTGCAGAAAAATTCTAAATCATAACCTTTTATATAAGGACGTGAGAGTGGAGGAGGAGAGAGAAATGATGTGTAAAAAATCCTAGTTTTTTTGAACCACGGGCAAAACTGTTCACTATTTTCTGAACCGGGTTATTTTTTTGAGAGTGAATTCCACTTTTTACCCCATATTTATACATTTGTGACACTAATTACCCCTTCGAGTGAAAATTCGTCTAGAATACCCCTTTTGAAATCTTTGAACCCTTGTTTTTTGATGCGTGTCCATCAGGTAAGGTGTGAGGTGACGCCCTGTATCCAAAAACATGTGGACGGCCACAAGGAGTGAAACAGATAGACAAGAGAAGCTTGGACAAGATCGCCAATGATGCCCTCCGATCCTTACAGTTTTTTTTACAAATCAATGACGCAACATGCCGATCCTATCGACCATAAACAAACAAAATGTAAAACTGGGGTAAAACCGTGTTAAAAGTCTTCAAAATCTGACATTTCGATAAAAGTTCCGCTAAATAGGGTAATATGTGTCACAAATGTACAACTACAAGGTAAAAAATGGAATTCACTCTTTTTTTGAACACTGTTCATTAACGGGCATTTCACTTTCGTTGTTTAATATTGCCACATAAAATGAACAGTAAACACGCAAAAAAACATCACCAGGCATTGTTCACTTTTGCCGCATAAAAATGAACATTAAATGTGCGAAAAGAAAAATTTAGAGAAAAGAGAAAAACGGAACGCTTCCTACTTTAGCATAGTAACTTATGTAAAATTGTACTATTTACATGCAATACTAAAATATATTATCTATTAGCAATACTATCAAAGACATCAAAGCCAGGAGTTGTACGAGTGATATCATTGTCTCTCTTGGGACTTCATTGGGGTATGCTCTGGTGTGGATAAAGCTGAGCTTCGAGCATGCCTTGTTGGGCTTTATATCGGTATTTCTCTTAACATGCTTATTGTTTTGGAAACTGATTGTGCGTTTGTGGCTTCTTTTCTTGCAAATGAAAGTTGTGACAGATCCCGCTCGTTGACCTCAAGAAGGAAGCGGTTGACATCATCAGGCTTCTGGAAAACTTCAAGTTATCAAAAATAAATAGAAGGGCCAATTCAGTGGCGCATGAGATTACTAAATTTAGTTTTTGACAATAGATCTGATGGTTTTTTAGAATAATTTCCCGCCTTGCGTGGTGTCTACTGTTATGAACGATTATAATGATGTTTTAATTAAGGAAAAGGTTTAAAAACAACCGGATGATCCCAGGCAATCGTAAGCCCCCTCAAGCGAGTGACACGCGTCCCCTACGGGCCACCCACCGCTTCTCCTCGTAGCGTTATCTTCACGAAAAGGCTCTAGTCCATACGTTTTTCTCCTCAAAGCCTCCTTCTTCCTTTCTTCTTCCTCAGGTGCTGCTACCTCTCCCGACAAACGCCGCTGTTACACACAACTACTACTACCCTGCTACCTCTCCCAAAAACACGCTACAAGCTTCCCGTCGCTGACCACCGCCACCGTTGCCACACAACCCACCCCAACATTAACGATGCTGCTTTTTCGGGGATGTCGGCGTTTTGCTGCGAAAGCAACATCCATGGGGATCAGATAGGCGAGCGCGGTGTGCTGCAATGGATCGGAGCCTCCGAGTGTGGCGGTCGGCGCTATGATGGAGCATTGCGTGCGGCCGGCGCTACGATGGAGCATTGCGTGCGCCCGTCGGTGTCGCATTGGAGCATCACCGACGTTGTGATGACGACCACAACGACCATGGCGGTTGCAATTCCAGCGCTGCATTGGAGCTTCGCCGGTGTTGCGATGGCAATCGCGACGGGGATGCCATGGCGGTTGCAACTTCGCCGGTGTCGCGGCGACGACCGCGACGAGCCGGCCATGGCGTTGCAACTCCGTCGCTGCAATGGAGCTTCTCCGGGCTGCTGCCTTGGAGTTTTTGTTGCACCGACGCCGCCATGGAGCTTCGTCGGTGCTGCGACGACGACCGCGATGGGCCGGCCATGGCGTTGCAATGGAGCTTCGCAGGTGCCGCGACGGACCGGCCATGGCGTTGCAACTCCGTCGCTGCAATGGAGCTTCGCCGGGCTGCCTTGGAGTTTTTGCAGCACCGCCGTCGCTGCATTGAAACTTCGTCGGGGTTGCAATGGAGCACCACCAGGGCTGTGGAAGCTGTGACGGTTATGCAACGGAGATTCACGGGGCTGCAATGGAGCTTCACGAGATGTCCACGGTGCTCCGTTTGAAGTGTGTGGCGCTGCTGACTTGTTGTGATCGAACGGCCACTGGTGTGCAGATCAGACGGCTCAGCCTCCTTTAATTAATTAATATATGAAGAGGTGTTTAAAAAAAAGAACACATTGGCAGCGAGAGATACTACAAGGGCCCGATTAATTAAAGCCCCGTGACAAGAGAGGAGAGACGGGGCTACAAGGACTGTGTGCGACCAAAGACAAGAGAGGAGAGATGGTTTTCCCTACCCGTACTAGTAGTACTACTTTTTACCATTGGTAATTTTATTATATACTGTAGCCGTAGCACCACGGCGCTCTCTAGTCTAGCTCTGGCACTGTTCACCGCGGCACCCTCCTCTCTTTACCCGCCCCGTGAAAAAGGGCCCGATTCCCAAGACACCACCCCGAAAGGCATCCTGCTAGCCTCCTCCCTCTCCCTCTCCCACAAGCAAAAGATTTCTGTGCAGTAGTACCATACTGATCGTCTGATCCCCTCTCCCCCCTCCCCTCCCCTGCCATCCCATTGATCGCTCATCTGCTCTGCATTTCCGCATTGACTGACCACAACCACAAGCGACTCCTCCCTCCTCCCTACAGACGGCCAAGGCCACAAACCAACCCCCTTTGCTTCCATTCCTCCTCCCTCTCCTCCCAAACGGAATGCCGCCTGCCTGCTCCGGTGCTCGCGCGTGAGCGGCTAGGACGACGCGCGAGACGGAGAGGGGGAAGCCATGGGGGGCGGATTTGGAGGACGTGGTGCTCTCCTGGTCGCTCCAGGAGATCAACGACGACGACCTCTACAGGGGGAAGGTACGCGCCGTGGTGCTCTCCGTGCGCCATCCATTCACCCCTCCCTCGCCCCGCCTCCGGATGATGATGATTTGTGCTTGCGGGCTCGACCCTTTTATTTGGGTTGTTTTTTCGGTCGAATCTGTGCGCATGGCACGGACTCCGGGCGAGCGAGGCGTATGCTCCGTATGCGCGCTAGGTTGAATCTGGTGATTTTTTTTGGTTAATCGCGTTTAGTGCGCTGCCATTTTGTGCGTAATCGAAGCTGGGTTAGCTGTTGGATGTTCCAGATGATGGTGTGTGTGGTCCGCGCGCTAGGGTTTAGAGGGGGTTTCTGTCCACGTGTCATGGAACTGGAACTGCAATGAATTAGCATGCGCTGAGTGCCATTTCTGGACTGTCGTCTGATGGCAAGTGGCAACGCACGTAATTGTTGCGCGCTAACTGTTGGATTTCAGGAATTTTTTTTCTTTCAGAAATTGTTGGATTTCAGGAAATTACATGTTGCTGTTGCTTGTTGCTGCCATCTGTGACCGATTCGGGCTAATACCATGGTTCTTTTTTTAGAGAATGGTTCTTATGTTACTGATGGAGGTGCACATTGCTGTAGAAAACGATGGCACACTAATTTCATTATGTGACCACCATTTGTCCAGTGCCTCCAAAGAACTTTATTTGGTGGCAGATAGGTGCTGTCGAAAAAGATGACACAGCTATTGGATTTCAGGATTGTTGTCTGATGGCAAGTGGCAACGCACATAATTGTTGCACGCTAACTGTTGGATTTCAGGAAATTGCATGTTGCTGTTGTCTGTTGCTGACATTTGTGACTGATTCGGGCTGATTACATGATTCTATTTTTAGAGAATGGTTCTTATGTTACAGTTGGAGGTGCACGTTGCTGTAGAAAACGATGACACACTAATTTCATCATGTGACCACCATTTGTCAAGTGTCTCCAAAAAACTTTATTATTAGATAATACACTTTAAGTTTCAAACCGCTGTTGGAACATGATAGGTGCGTAAGTCATGTATCGTAATGATATGTATGCGTGATGTTGTACAATTTGGTGGCAGAAATTACAAACTGTCTTGCTATGAAAAACAATTTCTATAGCTGAGTACAGCAACCTCCTTGTGATATGAGTGCTGTACTGATCCTTGCATATTGTTGCTGTAGATGAAATTGACCATATAGCTCTTCTGTTTACATGCCATTTGTTGTGTGCTCAAGGAACTGTTGGAGAATCATCTTTTTTCTAGCTATAACCATATTCATTTGGAAATGACCTCTTTTCTGTTTAGGTTGAGACTATTCCCTGCAACTTCAAGTCACTTGATCACTATCTTGCATCGTACCGTGTGCCTCTGATTGAAGAAACAAGGTCAGATCTGTGCTCATGCCTTGAACTCGTCAGTCAAGCACCCTCGTCGAAAATACTTTCCATGGAGGTAGCAGGAAAGTCGGGATCATACTTTATGGATGTGGACTTTTGGGACAATGATGCTGGTTTCTCTACTGGGGCTTATTCTGCCAGGAATGGTGACATCTTTATTTTGTCTAGCATAAAACCTGAAGCTGCAGAGGACTTAAACCGCCATGGTGTCACATATTGCTTGGCAATGGTCACTGATGTTTCTATGGATGATGAATACCAGAAGGGCTTCAGAGTCAAAGTTGAAAAGAATATTGACTTGGAAGAAGACTTGAACAAACTCAAACATGCAATATCTCTCAATAATATCACCACAAACATACGTATATGGAAAGCACTTACCTTTGGTGCACACATGAATGACAATTTCACAATAATCAAGTCGCTCTTAGCCCCCACAAATCTGGTAATGTGGCATGCATACCCGTGTTTAGTTTACTTGCCATTTTCATTACCAGTATAAACTAGTATGGGACCTAACCTTTTGAGCTCCTCTTTGTCTGCTCTGTTGCAGGGTGAGGATATTTGCGGTATGTGTGTAAAGCAGGATGGGGGCTGTTTGGCTTCTTTCACAGAGCAATTACTATCGGTTAAGCTTAATCAATCACAAGTTGATGCTATTGATTCTGTCATCTCAGCTGTACAATGTGGGCATGTAAACCTCATGAAGCTTATATGGGGTCCACCAGGCACTGGAAAAACCAAGACGGTTAGCGCTTTACTGTGGGTCTTGGCATGTTTGAAATGCAGAACTCTTACTTGTGCTCCCACAAATGTTGCTGTTGTTGGAGTTTGCACTCGTTTCCTGGAAAACTTGAAGGATTTCAATGAGCACACTGACAACATTGGTCTACCTTTTTCTCTTGGAGATATTTTGTTATTTGGAAGTAGGTCTAACATGGACATCACAGAGGATCTTCAGGAAGTTTTCTTGGATTTTCGTGTCGATGAACTTGTGGAATGCTTTTCATCGTCGTCTGGATGGAACTACAGAATAGCTTCAATGATATCCTTTTTTGAAGACTCTGCTTCACGGTATGATATGCTTCTTGAGGATGATGGCAAAATTGATCCAGTGTGCTTTTTGGACTTCGTAAAGAAGCAATTTGATGTGATAGCAGTAGCTCTGAAAAGATGCATCATGAATTTGTGGGTTCACCTACCTGGGAGGTGCTTTTCTTGTGATAGTGCCATAAATATATCTACATTGCTTCATATGCTGGAAAATTTTGGTGCTCTTCTGTGCAACGTAGACTTGACTGATGAGGGCTTAAAAAGGGGACTTGGTTGCCTGTCAACTGTGAACTCTGTTTGTGCACAACCTGTATCTTCTATTGAGAAGGAACTAGATGGAGCAAGGTCTTCATGCCTTAAATTGCTAAAGGATCTGCTACACTCGCTTAATTTACCCACTGGAGTAAATAAAAACTGGGCCCAGAACTACTGCATATGTAATGCAACACTTCTTTTCTGTACTACCTCTAGCTCTTATCGGTTACATCACATGGAGATTGCACCCTTCGAAGTATTAATTGTTGATGAGGCTGCTCAAGTGCGGGAGTGTGAATTGGTGATCCCACTACGTCTGCGTTGGTTAAAACATGTTGTTTTGGTAGGAGATGACTGTCAGCTGAGTGCAATGGTTAAAAGCAAAGTAAGGTTTTGCCTCACCCTCTTTATATTGTCTGAATTCATTTCTTAGTCATTGGCCCATTTATCAACAAGATAAACTTCTGGTACTGAAATGCTGAGAATAAAAAATGTGACGGCCATATCTTTCTTTTATGTTCCATTGTTATTTATATGTTTTCAGTAATCTTACTAGCTTTCATTGGTTGTCTCTAGGTATGCAAAGAAGCTGGATTTGCGACAAGTTTATTTGGGAGATTGGTTATGCTCAAATTTGATAAGCATTTGCTGAATATACAGTATCGCATGAATCCTTGTATCAGCTTATTTCCAAATGCCCAGTTTTATGAGAGGAAGATTTTAGATGGTTCCAATGTTCTGTCTCCTAGTTATAATAAGGATTACACATGCCTCCCTTTTGGGAGCTACACGTTTATAAATCTCACTGATGGAAGGGAAGACACAGAGGGCACGGGAAACAGCCGCAGAAACATGGTTGAAGTTGCTGTTGTTTTGCACCTAATCCATACCATCTTTAAATGTATGTCTAAGCTGAATTCTATCCTTTCTTTAACCTTAATATCCTTTCTAGTTATTTTTTAAGAAGATATTTGGCTAATATAACATGGGATCTTTAGAAGCTGACGTGATCTGCCGTTCTTGTATTGCATACTGCATAACCTTCATTGGTAGAAAGGTGTTCACCACAATAGTGTATGTTTGAGAGTCCAGCTTTCCATGTGTATCTCTTGATATGGTTAAATTTCAATTCTACTGCCCTGTTCGGGAAACAATGTTATTTTTATTTTGGAAAAAGAGAACATTCGATAGAGGACATGAAAGATGAAACATCATGCTCTATCAGAGTTGTTTGGCCACTGCCTGACCCGCCTTAGTAACTTTTATTATTATCGGACTTCGTAGTTGAAAAGCAATGATATGTCAATGATTTGGTGATACAGAATTAACTTAAATTTGTTGAAGAATATTCTTTCAATAGCCTTGTCAAAAAGTTCATCCCTAATGATCAGTAAGCATACCACCTAAGTTTTTTCTGCAGCTTGGAAAAGGACAGACCAAGGGCTCAACATCGGTGTGGTCTCTCCATATAATGCTCAAGTTGATGCAATTAAAAATCGACTTGGCCAAAAATATGATACATGTGATGGCTTTCATGTGCGAGTGAAGTCCATTGATGGTTTCCAAGGAGAAGAGGATGATATAATTATACTATCAACTGTTAGATCCAACGAGAGAGGAGTTGTTGGATTTCTTGCTGATAACCAAAGAACAAATGTTGCTCTTACTAGAGCAAGGTGTGCATCAAATTTTTTGTGGCCCCTTGTTTTATTGCTGTTCAAAGTATGTCAGACTGATGATATAAATTATCTGATGGATGCTTTATTCATACAGGCACTGTCTTTGGATTGTTGGGAATGCTCATACACTTTATAAAAGTGGGACTGAATGGACAGACCTTGTTGCTGATGCGGAGAGACGTAAATGTATTTTCAGTGCCACTAATGACGCAACCATCTGTAAGGTGGTTTTGCAAGTAAAGCAAGAGTTTGATGAACTTGAGGATCTTCTCAGTGCCGATTCAGCGGTTTTCAGCAATACAAGATGGAAGGTAAGTACCATGGTTTCAGCCAGTTTGGCTTTGAACTACTTTCTTGTTTTCTAATATGTCGCTGCACTTAAATTACCCAGAATGCAATTCACATGTATGTGCATTTGTCTTATGAGACTCATGCTTGTTGTCAGGTAGTTAGGGTTTACTGAATGTACACTTCCTTTATAGTGTGATTTTGTTTGTATTCATGATAGATCTATTTTTTACTTTTTGGAATCATGTATGTGATTCACTTGTCTCTACTAGGCTGGTTGCTCTGTAATTGGATTGTGAGAGGTTTGTAAATAGGATTTTCAGGACAATGTTCATTTCTCTCGTATACATTCTTTCTCATGTTCCATTTTTTGTATTCATATATTCGACAGGTCATTCTTAGCCACGAGTTTAGAAAGTCTTTCACCAAACTAAAATCACGACAGCTCAGGAAGGAAGTACTCCAAAAGCTTATCAAACTTGGAGATGGTTGGAGGACAACAGTCAAGAACCTTGACATGCCTGGTGTTTCTTATCTTGTAAAAGTATACAAGATCTGGGACTTGTATCTTGTTTGGAGTACTGACATTGAGAAAACCGAAAGAAGGTATTCCCAGATAATAAGAATTTGGGACCTACTGTCACAGCAAAATGTTGCAAGAACTGTTCAACGTCTCGAGAATCTATTCTCCATGTACACGGATGATTACCTGGATCATTGCAGGAGAGTGCAGACACAAGGGTATGAGTTTTTTTTATTGTTAATGGGCTATAATCAGGTTTCTTAGATTTTTTATACCTCTGATACTTACAGAGATGAACTGTTTGTAAATAGTTCATGCCTACAAATGAATTGCCTGAAGATATTCTTCTAATTTTTGCCCTCCTTTTTGTTGTGGATAACAGGAAACTGGAGGTTCCTATGGTTTGGGATATTGTGCATGATATTATCCGCTATAACAAGGATTGCAAAGCTGACGCTCATGAAGAGCATGATTCCGTGGATACATCATATGGCATGGAGAATTCAAAAGTTAGTGAAAGCTTCCTGCTGATGAAATTCTACTTTTTATCATCTGGAATGGCAAAGCATTTGCTGACAGCTACTGATGGGTCTGAAATCAACATCCCCTTTGAACTGACGGATGAAGAGAAGGTGATAATTCAATTCCCACTCACTAGTTTTATACTTGGGAGGTCAGGCACTGGAAAAACCACTGTATTGACAATGAAACTGATTCAAAAAGAGCAACAGTCATTGATTGCATCCCAAGGTTTAAATTTGGATGGTGCTGATTTATCAGGGGTAGATGACAATAATATTATGTTACCAAAGAATGGAGGAGAAAGTTCTGTGAAACAAGTATTTATCACTGTAAGCCCAAAGCTATGTTCAGCCATAAAAGATCACATCTGCAGACTTAAAAGGTAAGTCAATTGAATTGAAACCCCTATTTTTCAAGTATTACATATGTTTACACCATTTTGGAAATTATTTTCATAGGACTATTTAAAGTGTTGGCTCAATATTTTTTCACTGTACTTCTTTCTATTAGAGGTAGTGAGGGTAGGCCTTGAATGCTGCTGGTCTAGGCGTGCACTCAGCCACTCACATGACTAGCCAACTGAGCCATGCTTGGTGCTCTTTTGTGAAATTATACATTGCAAGCGGGTTCAATGATTTCTTACGAAGATACTCGCTTTGCTTCTTTTATGTTTTGTACCAACACTAATCCTTGTATTAATTCCAATTTATTTCAACCCTTTATAGATTTGGCATCGGTGATGTCTCTGACGAGTCTAGCATTCTTCACATGCATGACATCATGGATGACCTGGAAGAGTTTACAGAAATTCCTGACAGTTTTTGTGATCTACCTCACGGGTACTATCCTCTTACTATAACATACCGTAAGTTTTTGATGATGCTTGATGGAACATGCCAGACATCTTTTTTCGATGCGTTTTATGGTGAAATGAAGTCTAGCTTTGAGAGAGGCCATTCAAGATCTCGTGCAGTGCAAACTTTTATTGAATTGAAGGAAGTTACCTACGAAAAATTTGCTACTTCCTACTGGCCTCGTTTTAATGCAGACCTGACAAAAAAAATTGCTGCGTCCACTGTCTTCACTGAAATAATTTCTCATATAAAGGGCGCATATCAAGCAAGCAGGCCTTGTACTGGCAAACTGGAAAGACAAGATTATGTGATGCTCGCTGATAAAAGATTTTCATCTTTGAACAATGAGATGAGAGATAGAATTTATGATATATTCCTCGAATATGAGAGTATGAAATGCACTGCCAGGGAGTTTGATTTGTCAGATTTCGTCAATAGTCTTCACAGTAGTCTTGTATCTGAGGGCTACAATGGAGATATGGTGGATTTTGTTTACATAGATGAGGTCCAGGATCTCACCATGACACAAATAGCACTTCTTAAGTATGTCTGTATGAACATCAAGGAAGGCTTCCTTTTTGCTGGTGACACTGCACAAACTATAGCAAGGGGTATCGATTTCAGGTTTGAAGATATCCGTTCACTTTTTTATACTGCATTCCTCGCAGAAACTGAAGCGTCTAATGAAGGACTTAAACATGGTGAAAGAGTCCATCTCTCAGATATGTTCCAACTATCTCAGAATTTCCGTACACATTGTGGCATCCTCCGTATGGCACAAAGTTTCATGAGCCTTCTGTACTTCTTTTTCCCGTCAAGTGTTGACAAGCTTAATCCATAGACTGGACTTGTACATGGAGAAGCTCCTGTGCTGCTGGAGTCTGATAATGATGAGAATGCAATTATGACTATTTTTGGAGAAAGTAAAAGTAAACATGGTAACCTGCATGGGTTTGGTGCTGAGCAAGTCATATTAGTTCGTGATGATGCTACCAAAAAACAAATTATTGATCTTGTTGGTAAACAAGCTCTTGTTTTGACTATTGTTGAATGTAAGGGTCTTGAGTTTCAGGTATGGGCCTATATATTCAGTTTCATCTGTGTTCATTTTGCAAAATATTTAACTGTAAAATGCGCTATTTCAAATTGTCAAGTATACTCACTTCAGAGATATTTTGTAGGATGTGCTGTTGTACAACTTCTTTGGTTCGTCGCCCTTAAGAAACAAATGGAGAGTTCTCTACGGCTACATGGAAGATAAAGATATTATAGCACACTCTGAGCAGATCTCTCATCCAGGTTTCGACAGAAGCAAGCATTATCTTCTCTGTTCAGAGCTGAAGCAACTCTATGTTGCAATCACACGCACTAGGCAAAGACTCTGGATATGTGAAAATACAGATGATTACTGTCGACCAATGTTTGACTACTGGAAGAAGTTGTGTATTGTAGAAGTTAGATCACTTGATTCTACCCTCATTCAGGCAATGCAGACAGGGAGCAGCAGTGATGATTGGAGGCTACGGGGAACCAAGGTTGGTGATCTTTGCTTGTTTGGTCTAGAAAGCCAATTTTAGTTACCATGCTATGCATTATGTTGCCTACTGAGTGATTTTTTGCATGTTCTTAATCTTGTGAAATTCATGTTTTTTTTGTCTCACAGTTGTTCTATGCACACAAATTCTTTGTTAGTCGGGTCACGATGCGTACCTACTTACAGTTTTTCTGTTCTTCTCTTTTACCATTGTTATTCCATCCACAAGTTCTCTCTCTTTTCCTTTTGTAGTTATTCAATGAGGGGCAATTCGAAATGGCTACTATGTGTTTCGAAAAGGCCGGTGATGCACACAGAGAGAAGTGGGCAAGAGCTGCTGGACTTGTAGCGACCGCTGACCGTGTCATCTCAAAAAATTTGGAGTTGGGCAAGGCTTCATTGGAAACAGCATCAGAGATTTACGAGTCCATAGGCATGCATGAGAAAGCTGCTACTTGCTATATCAAATTAGGTGACTACAAAAAAGCAGGTCTGCTAACTCTCCATAGTTCCCAAGCTGTATCCATACTTTTGAGATCTCATCATTCCATAACGTTTTACAAATGACAGTTTGTTCTTAAAGAGTTGCCATATAAGTAAATGTCATCAGATTAAAAAAAACATTTATTCGAAATGAAATCCCTCCATAAATTGCAGACATGCTATTTTTTAGCTTTGATATGGATAGCTTTGTCTGACACTCTGACTAAACATTGTGTTCCTTGCATTGCCATAGATATGGTCTATACGCAAAAATGTGGTATTTCTAGACTTGAGGAAGCTGGTGACTGTTTTGCTAGGGCTGAATGCTGGTCAGAGGCAGCTGAAATGTTTTTGAAAGCTAAATGTTACGCCAAGTGTTTCTCCATGTGCTCGAAAGGAAAACAATTATACAATCTGGGCTTGCAGTTTCTGCAACAGTTAGAGGAACATTCACTTGAGAATTCAAAATCCTTGGAGGTTTCTGCAATTAGAACGAAGTATCTGGATAATTGCGCTCAACATTATTTTGAGCGTGGTGACATAAAGCATATGATGCCCTTTGTTAAAGCTTTCAGCTCTATGGATCACGTACGGACGTTCCTAAATTCTAGAAATCTTGTTGACGAACTGTTGAGTTTAGAGATGGAAATGGGTAATTTCCTAGAAGCTGCAGGAATAGCAAAGCATAAAGGAGATGTCTTACTGGAGGTAGACATACTCGAGAAGGCAGATTTGTTTGAGGATGCAACACGGCTTCTCCTCCTCCATATCATTGTGGGTTCCTTGTGGTCTTCAAATAGTAGAGGGTGGCCTCCCAAAAGATATGCAGAGAAGGCACAGTTTCTTGCAAAAGCCAAAGAGTTGGCAAAAAAGGTCTCTGAGTGCTTCTATTGCTTTGTTTGCGTGGAAGCTGATGCACTGTCAGATGTGAATAAGTCTCTTTCCAGTTTGAATTGCACTTTGCTTGAGGGCAGAAAATGTGCAAACTTGTTAGTTGAACTTGTTGCTTCCCATTCGATCCTTGATGTTCATCTGCAGTCTCGAGCCTCTGGATACAAGATAGAATTAGGGCCAGGATCTGAAGATGAAAATAGCTGTAATGATATGCTGGCCTCTAACCAGATGTCACCCCAAACTCTGTTTTATGCCTGGAATCACTGGAAGTCGATCATAATCAAAGTACTATCTCATCTTTGCCACACCGATGATCCAGAATTAAATGGCTATGCAGTTGTGTATGAAGATCTTTTTGCCAAGTACTTCGGATTGAGAAAAGATGGTGAAGGTGACAGATATGTGGTGCTGAACATGAATGCAAGTTGGCTTTCCAACGCTGGCAGGAATTCTTTGCAGCAAGACGGCAACAGATGTTTATTGGGTGCCTCCGAGTGTCATTCATGTGCTCAGTGTTTCTGGATGAATGAGCTGTCTTCTGTTGGTTTCAGTGTACTTAAGAAGTTGGAGTCAATTGTTCAAATTTCTCCAAAGCCGGCATCTTGGTATACCCTGGTGAGAACTGTCCTTATCATACATGAGATAGCAAAGTTTTTGGAAGAACCACAGTTCAGCATGCCAAAAGGTTCCATGAAGTTAAGAAGCTTTTTTGTTCTCTGTGGGCGTCGATTCTTTGAGCTAGTTTTTCTTGTGTGGAGAGATGGGACAAAGGGGAGCCTCTCGCATGTACTTGACTCACCAGCTGCATATGGATTGATTGCTGATTCTCTTAGTGCAAATCTTCGCCCAGCAAATAAAAAATTGACTTATGGGCATCTTGGGAGAACAACCATGCTTCTGCTTCATGCAGCACAATTGGATGAAGCGCTGCTTTCAAGACTATTACAGTACCTGGGCAATAATTCTGAGTGGGCAGGGTTTTTCCGATATTTCAAGAGATTTCTTGACAGTGGTCGTGATAGATCCTCCTTGATCTTCAACTTTAAGCTTGCTCTTGAGTTTACCTTAAGTGTAAAGTGGAAGGATGAACTAGACTACATATCCCCAGGATGCTATGTGGGTCTTATGGAGTGCCTTGGTTTCTTGGCTTCATCATGCTTATTAGTACAGAATGATTTTATGTGCTGCACGAAATCTCTGTTGGTCAATATGCTGGAGTGCCGTACCAGCAAGGCTTTCATTGACACCTGCCAGGTATCTAAGTCAAGCCCAGATTCTGATCTTCATGGTTTGGCACACTTATCAGGCCGTTTCATATACGAGACAATTATTACTATCTTGACGACCAAGCATATGCTCCAGGAATGGGTACATAAGACTTCATGTCCTTCCAGTACTTCATACAGAGCAGTCCTCCTGAGATTAGTTGTTACACTTTATCCTCTGATCCTTACTCTTTCTCTGGGGAAGTGCTATGAGGTCACACGTAACCTTGTGAGGAATGAAGTCTTCAAGGATTTACCTTTGGAGTTCTCTAAGAAGATTCAAGATGCTTTGAAAATGAGGTCTCACACACCGAGCAACTTCATAAGAGTGCTTGCTGATGCACTTGCCTCAATCGGAGATCATATGGTAGTTATTGGCTCACCCAAAATCCCAGTAATATGTCGAAACTTGAATGCCTATATGATAAGCAAGGAGGATTTGCATGATGTTCCGAAGATAATGGCTCTTCTGCGTCTTGAAGAACCAAGTTGTGTGAAGCAAGAGACTCCATTGCCAGAAAAATCTGATGGCAGCAAGCGTCCTGAAGAACCAAGTTCTGTAAAGCAAGAGACTCCATTGCCAGAAAATTCTAATGGTAGCAAGTTCAAAAATGTTATTTCTGGAAACATTCCTGTGAATGTAGAGTTAGTAAAGATAGGAATCAGTTCGAAAAAGAAAAAATCAACTGATGTCCTTGTGCCTGTAGAGGTATTAAAGGTAGAGGGTTCGAGAAAGACAGATTCAACTGGTATCTTTGACACTCTCTGGAAGAAGCTTGATACTTTTCTACGCGATGAGGAAGGCCAGGTGAGTTTCATATGTTATAATAATGCTTATTTTGTTGTCTTCCAGTTTGTCCCATTGTTGGCAGGTGCCGAGTAATCCTAACAGCTAATTTCTGCAGAAAGATGCAAGGGTTGTCATTCAATTTCTTAGAGATGCCCTTCCATGGCTGGAAACAGGCGTTCTAGCATTGGTTGATAAAGAGCTTGATGAACACTATCTGGAAGAGATCAAGCACATCTGCAGTGAGTTCGAAAAACTTCCTGATAGGTAAGCAAGTGTTAATTTGGGGCCAACTTTATCTAGATTTCGGGTCAGTTCTTTTGGCAACTTTAAAAAATAAGTTGCCTCCTCCCTAGCTTTTCCTATAGCCGCCTCTTTTATTCATTGGGGCTTCTAAACTAGTTATGTGATAACTAATTTAGAAGTCTCAACAAATTCAGAGGGCGGCTTACTTTTTAAGTCGGGGAGAGGCAGCTTATTTTTTAAGCCGCCCAAAAGAGTATTGTAATTGATAGGCATGTATGGGTAATAACATCCTCTCTTTTCTGCATGATATGTACCACCTTTCTAGTCTAGTGCAAGACGTGTCTTGTGAGAATTTACCTTACCACTTGCGTGCGTGAAAATTCACAGGACGGACAAAAAAGCTGTGGATGATCTATACTCGAAGTGGGAAGGTGCTGGGAAGACACTGCAGCAGGTCATCCGCCTTGTGATTGGTTCAGGGTCATGCACGGATGGTTGTTGCCAATGCCAGGATGAGAGGCGCGAGGGGAAAGACCCCAGGCTCTGCCTCCTGAAGTTGCCCACAGACTGCGTATTCAAAGCTTGCCCAGATGACGAGCGGGCTGGCACGGGAGAAGCTGCCTCGACTTCAACAAAGGCGGCGGCGCAGAAGCAGAAGAGCAAGAAGAAATCCAAGAGGACGAAGAAGCCCGACAAGGGGCGTGGCAAGAAGTGAGCTGCTGTAGTTAGTTTAACCACCTTCAAGAAAATATTTGCGTGCATTGGGGAAGCTTGTATTGTAAAACCATTGGGAAGACAGCAGAAATGTGTTGCTTCGCGTCTGGCCAAGGAATGTAACTGTTGAACCGGCACAAGACATTTGTTTGTACCCATGCATCACTATGAAGTTCCCCCTAAATTATTTATGTCGAATGAACGTGCTTACAGAAAGTGTTGGGCCCTTTTTGACCTGTGGAATAGCCTCCTCTGCGCTATGGCACCACTTTTGAATATGCACACCTGTAAGAGACCACCGTCGAAACTGCATTGCAAAAACTTGAAACGGAACCGATGGACGCTATGTGAGCCAACACCCAACCAATTTTCAACACACCAACACCCATGATCTTCCGGTAGAAATGATGTAGTGACACTGTAGTAACTTGCAAAGCCGCGCAGAGTCATGCAATGCAACCATGAATCACACACACTTCAGAAGGCCACCTGATCGCGTAGATCAGAGGGATAGCTACACTCGAACTGACAATCTCACAGCTGCCCCTAGAACCATGATAGCAGACTCCGATGACTGGGGGTGAAGAAATTGAAGGGGATGGGGTGCTCCAGGTGATCACCTGTTAGTCCCCTTCATATTCTTTTCAAGGAATTAGCAGTTGACTGCCCATATATTAAGATGAACAAAATGTTGTTACAAATTCATACGCCACCGGTGGCCAAGACATGATCATTGTCCAGGTAGCCAGCAGGCCCACAGGATAATCAACAACACAATTTGGATACATATTATGCACAATATAATAGCCCAAGCCATGGCACACCCTGACAGCTTGGCTTGGTTTGGGATGGAAAAACGATGGTGAAACATGGCATAAATGTAGTGACACACTCTAGTCAGGAATGGCACAGAGAACTTGTTGCTGTACAGTACGTCAGGAAAAAAATTAAACCCTGACACCATGAGGCACTTGTTTATCCCGGCCCCATACGAATAGCTTACTCAACACTGTATTTATTTCAACAAAGAGAGAAAAAAAAAAGAGCACTTGCCTAAGCTTTAGTAATACTATTTCTCAGAGAGAATATATGCATAAAAATCCGTACTAACTTTCCTACCGGCAATCTTCTAGCAGTGTTCTCTATTGGTAATGCCCCCCTGGCCCGTCCCTGCCTTCGTAAGCAGGTGGGGCGGTGTTGTTGTAGTTGCCGCTGCATTCGTAGCTTGGGTTACCTATGGGGGAAACTGGTAACTTGGTGGATCAGGCCCGCTCTGGTACGACTGTGTGTTATGCCTTCTCCTTTCAAAGTTACCCTGTCAAAGTTGGGACGCCTACGACTACACTATCTGCCAATTTTACTGCCTCTCACCCACTCCTCATGGTATTTGGGGTCGTAAGGAACAGCCTGTCCATCTATAAATGGTTCTCCTGAAACACAAGAGAAGGCATTAGATACACTCTCCTTACATATGGACTGAGATGAAAACTGAAGAAAGTGCACAAGCTCAGATAATCCAAGGAAGACATGGCAGGTTAAAATGTTGAAAGTGCCACCTCAAGGGGCTCAAAATGCCAGGACATATTGACAAACACTTGATATGATAAATCATCTTGCACAAAGCACTTGATTTTACGATATATATGGTGGTATGATATTTGGCTGCAGTTTTCATTATTATTTAATCCAGGTATAATAATGAAAACTGCAGCCAAATATCATACCACTAGGAGGAAGATGTATATTTTAAACAAAAACTAGCAACTACAGAAGCGGTGTCTTATACTCCCTCCATTCCTAAATATTTGTCTTTTTAGAGATTTCAACAAGTGACTACATACGGAGCAAAATGAGTGAATCTACACTCTAAATCATGTCTATATACATTCGTATGTGGTAGTTTATTTGGAATCTCTAAAAAGAAAAATATTTAGGAACAGAGGGAGTAGCTCTCGTATCAAATTTGAGTGTATCGTGTTATATTCAGGTTTCATCAAAAGACAGAAGTTTGTGGTTGGTAGCCTGCCAAAAAGTTACAGTGGCCAACATAAGCTCCTACTTCAATTAAAATAAACAAAGTTGTTACCAATCACCATTTCTGTCAGTTGAATAGATATCTTAGATATTGGTGACATCCTTTTACTATAGACTGTAGGAATGATGTTACAGAGAGCAGTCAAGATTACACTCAAATACTAGAAAACTCCACATGATAACAACAATGAGATGTTCATCACTAAACAGTTAAATGCTTAACTATAATACAAATGGGTACAGAAGCAATTAGCAGCACAAATAAGATACCAATGATGATCGTTAATTAATAAATGAAAAAATATATTCTGACAGGATAACAATCTTAAGCCTTTTGAGTAAGAAAAAAATTCCTAAAAACATGTGCTACAGGAAATTTTCTCAAAATTCCTAGATCTGAAACCTGCAACTGAAATAGTCATGACAGAACATCATATAGTACCACACAGAGTGGTAAATCTGTTACCTAGTGAGGGGAAAAAGCAACAACCATTTCAAATTATTATAGTGAATATTCAGTCAGATAGTACATGATCATTACCCCCATAGTCCTTATTTCTTACATCCACGTATGAATCAGGAAGAACCCAACGGACCTTAGGCAACTCTGAAAATAACAAATTAGTGGCATTTAAAAAAAGATCATTTGAAGTCACCTTCATAAAAAGATCACATACACGAATTTCATGTAACGATCAATATACCTATGAGTTTGCCGGCGAGTTCGTCAGATAGTAGGGCACCAAAAGAAAAATAATGCCTAGTTGACACAGAGTAGATCTTCATCCTTGCTTCGTCTTCACTGGAACGACATAGGGATAGGGTAGGTTTGAGATACAGATATGTTATAAATAGTACATAAATGACTTTATCATACTTATCCAATCCTGATCCACTAACCCATCAAGGGTGAGGTGAGGGGGCAGCATACCTTCCGACGACCTGAGCGAGGGTCTTGATGTAGCCGTCGATGATCTCGTTACGGTGGATGTCGGGGTTGCTGGCGTCTCCTGGGGGGCCCTCCATGATGACCATCCAGTGCTCGTAGTCGCACCCGGGGATCGCCTCCTCGGGGGCACGGTTGCTGCAGTTCGAGTCTGAGTTCGCGGGCTGCGTCGCGAACCGCCTGGCCGATGCCCCGGGCGCCGGCGCCGGGGACGGGGCCAGCGCCGCCGGGAGGAAGGTCCCCGCAGAGGCGAGCGGGCGGAGGAAGCGAGAGGCGGCGGCCGGGAGGGATGAGAGCCTGGATAGGAGGAGCGCGCGCGACGCCGACGCCATGGTGCAAAACCCTAGCGTATCCGTGGGGAAATGGCGTCGACGGGGTTTAATAAGGGTTTAAGGAGAGCGTGCGCGATTTATAGAGGGGCCCGTGAGTCGTCTCTGACTCTCCTAGTCTCGTGTAGCGCGGCCTTGGCGAGGCGATCGTCTCCGCTCTCGTGCACCGACTTCCAACCTTTCCCAGTCCCAACGCTTCTCTGAAATCTCTCCTGCAGTCCTCCGCCGTGCTGGAGCTGCCGGCTTCACCGCGGACAATCGGTCTTCTCCGCCGCCCACGCTCTTCTCTCTCCACCCTTAAATTTTGGGTGCACGCCATCTAGGTCCGCTTTGCACTGTGCAAAGTTGAATTAGGTACCCTTTTTCATTACTTCTGATGACTGAAAATATTTAGAGCTTATCTTGTTCTGCTTCGGTGTCGGGAGTATGATGCAAGCTAAAAGAGCAGGTGATGATGATCTCGCAGAAAGCTCGAAAAAGAATACATAGGCGGTGATGGAAGAGAGACACACTTGATTCCTTGGTTTCAGGTCTGCCGGCACTTCATTGTTTCCAATAAGGGAAAAGCCCCCCCTCAACCTGAATCTGCTGAGGCCTATGGCGGCGGAACTTTTACGCTGCAAGCGCCGCCTCCGTATGCTTCCATAGGTCCAACCCCCGTGGCTACCTTTCAATGGTGCTGCAAGATGTCGTGTGCCACTCTGAGATGTGATGCAAGGCCTTGTTGCAAACCTCCGAATGCAACGTGCATCATGTTGCAAACTTCCAAGCACAACATGACTCATATTGCAAAGAACTCGTCTTGCGAATCTCCGAGCGCAACATGTCTCATGTTGCAAACACTTGTCAGTTGGTAGACGTGGCCCATATCCAACAGTTGTCGCTCACTGGATCCAATGGCTTGTTGCCCATCCGATCTTTGCAAAATACCTGTCGGCCAACGAGTAGCGCAGTCATAACATCACTGCTGAAATTGATGGGTTTAGTGAGTGTATTTTATCGATGCGTGCTACATTTCGGCTGATTAAAGTGTGGATCGAATCGACCGCCTCCAGAGTCGCTGGATCACGCACGCGATAGCTGCTCTAGACACGTTATTCATTCGCTATGGTCCGCTTATTTGCAACATGAGCCATGTTGCACTTGCCGGTTGCAACATGACCCATGTTGCGCTCTGAAAAAACATTTGTGGTCGTCCACCCTATTATCCAAACCCCTTTTGCAACATGACTCATGTTGCACTTGGGAAAACATCTGTGGTCGTCCATCACCATGTTAGCTAACCCTCATTTGCAACATGAGCCATGTTGCGCATGCCGGTTGCAACATGACCCATGTCACGCTCTGTATAGAACGTTTGCAACACTGGCGCGACCATCAACCAGTGGAATGGAGTAGGGCCTTGCACCACTAGCCTCCACTCTAGCACCTTCCGCAACTTCCTTGCACCAGCGATCCGCTGAAGCAGCCTCCGGCAACGCTCTCTGAATCGACCACGCGTAACCTAGCTTGCAGCATCGATAACCGAGACAATTTCGCATCAGTGGCATCTACAACACTGGTTTGTCGGTGGAGCTCGCAACATGGTGCTAGAACATGTTGCGGCAGTGGTGTCCCATGGTGGTATGCGATACGAACATGCGCCGATGGTGACGGTTTGAACCGAGAAAAGGGAGATAGGGAAAGAACAAA